AAATATATATATAGTACATCGACGTGTATACCCGGGTCATTTGTTTTATTGGTACTGGTGCGGTGCATGGATGCGTGTCTTTAGGAGGGTTTACAAAGCCTATTCGTGTGCTATATATTTAATCAGAAAGTGTACCACAGTGCTCACGTTCAGAACTCACATTTGCGTCACACTATACCCACGTCATTGAAACAGGCCAACAATGAAAAGCTGGATGCGGAGCATGCCGAAAGTCCTTGTAAGTGAATTGACAAAATAATTGCACACTGTTTATTGGCTTTGGAGTGGTTGTATTGGTGCGTGACTGATTCCCGATTTGTGTATCGCATTGCATTGTTCTTTGGGTATCCTCTTTTTTTTGGTGTTTGTATTTTGTATATTTGGTTCATTTTGGTGTTTTTCTTTTTGGGTTCATTGTGTTTTTGGTTGTTTTTTTTGTGTGTGTTGTGTTTGTATTCTTGGTTCATTTTAGTGTTTGTATTTTTGGGCTTTATTTTTTTATGGTCCCTTGCGAGGGTTGGTGGTTCCTCAATCATTAGAGAACAAACGAAGGAACTCAGGCGGGGCGCTACGCTGACTGTGATTGTTGTTTAAGCGGCACCGTTGCTTCTATTTCCAATTGTTGCCCAGTTGCGCATTCAGTGCCCTTTTTGTACTTTCAATGTCGAATACTTGTCCATTCAGTGCTCCTTGCATTGTTTTTAACTTTTATTGTTGCTCGTATTTCTATAGCTTTAACGTCAAATTAACGCTTATTCAGTGCCCCTTCTGTACTTATGATGTTAAAAACTTGTCCCTTTCGCGCGCTTTATATTGTTTTACGCTGATTTATCGCTCGTATTTCTACACCTTCAACGTTAAATCATTGCTCATTCCGTGTTCTTTCCATTCTTTATAGTCACTCATGCAGTGCCGTTTCAAGTACCACAAACCGCTCCCATCACCAAAGAGAGCACTGACAGTTTGACTGGGCCACAGGAAGCGCTGGGGAAGACTAAGTCTCTGAAGAAGCGAGGTATGGCATTGCACGTGTACGGCGTGGATATTCGCGTGTTCGAGTGTATGTATGTGTGTGTGTTTATGCATGTACGCATGTGTGTATGTAGTGTCTGAATGTCTGTGTGGATGTCTGTGTATGTATGTATGTATGTATGTATGTATGTATGTATGTATATATGGATGTATGTACGTATGTTTGTGTACATATGCATGTATATCTGTATATCTGCATGTATGTATGTACGTATGCATGTATATATGTATGTGTGTATGTATGTACACGGATTCACGTATCCTTAAAAATAATACGTTGGAATATCATATAACCACATTTTTCAGTTTGTATCGTTTTGTAGCCAATTGCATTTATTTGGATTGGTGTATAACCAATTGCATCTTTTTGGACTAGTTTATAACAAGTTGCATCTTTTTTGATCATTTCGTATCCAATTACATCCTTTTGGACCATTTCAGAACAAATTATATCTTTTTGAACTATTTTTTACCCAATTATATCCATTTAGACTATTTTGTATACAAGTAGATGGGCACTCATTGAATTCCTACCGCACTGCCCACGTATCAGACGCCAACTCACTCTTGAGCACAAATGTCTGTAGCAGTGGTCCGCGAGTCCGTTTTCTCTCCTCGTTGAGGTTTTTGTATCCGATTCCATTCCTATTTCTCATTTTGTCCTGTTTTTACTATCACAATTTACCACTTGTTCCCATCCTCTCCTCCCCTACTGATTCCCATCCAAAACTTCTAACCTCCCATTTCTATAAATAGATTGGCGCCCGTCATTCTCGTACCTGACGTCTGGGTCGTCCAAAACCAACCCACTCTCCACCAAAGCAACACAGGGCAACCACAACAGCATCACATCCACGCAGACCGCCAAAGGGCCTCTCACCAGTACAACCAAGTCAGGCACTTCGTATGTCACGGTGAATGGGCACAAGTCAATGTTACCAGTAGTACACGTGTGTTACTTGTATTAGGAATGAATATATATCAATGTTATCAGTAGTACACGTGTGTTACTTGTATTAGGAATGAGTATATGTCAATGTTACCTGTAGCACGCGTGTGTTACTTGTATTAGGAATGAGTGTATGTCAATGTTACCTGTAGCA